GGAGACATTGATATAGTTTCTAATGGTGAAATCTATATTGGATTGGACCAAAGTTGAATTGTTTTAATTAATAATTCTGTTTGAATAAAACAATTTACTTTTGACGAATTATATGTTGTCATCTTAATCCTGAGATGGATGATGAACCTGTATACTTGACTTGTATCCTTTGATGTACTAAAAGGAGACATCTTGACATTATGTAAAGGTACGCTTGCCGGTACATTGGGGGTATGACTCGTGTATGCGTAGATTCGTTATTCATAGATAGTGGAATCCATAGCTCCTATAAAGAGTCAATGATATCCTCTTATACATTATCAGTAGATTGGAAAATATGAGCGCTCAGCCATTGGACTACTCTGTGTTATCTAATGGTTTACTGTTTGTAATGATACGAATAGTATTTTTCTAATGGTATGATAATAGAACATAAGACAAATGTAATCGGGAAGGTAAAACGGAACTTGACCTCAAGTCGATTATGGATATCCTATGGGGATGATACATTAATATATTGAGTCATGGACTAGAGCTAATCAGAGCTTTGTAAATACGCTTTATGAGACCGAGAGGAGATCAACGGTTAGATAATCAAATTAGGATTTAGGTCGTTGTGAGGCCGAGAGGCGATCAATATTCCTATTTTCTAATTCTAAAGGCGAAGTTTAATTTGTGTTTAAATATTCATTTCAAATAGGGATATTGTTTTGGGTATTTAAATACAATTTCTTGTGAGGCACCCGAGAGAGGTTGCGAGATGACATTAGAGCCTTGATTAATGAATTGAACGGAATTGATTAGCGATTACATAATAGGATGAACATAGGAATAATAAAGCGAAATCAAGTCCCTAGACCATTTCTGTATAGATACTTTATTTTTATTCTTATATTTATTTTATTTTTGTTTTCAATTATCATCTTATTAGGTTGCCTAGATAAAGTTAAGTTACAATAATCACGGTATTTAACAGTAATTCTAAATCCAATCCCTGTGAAGACGATACTCACTCACTCTATACTCAAAACTTAATACCGTACGCTTGTGAAAATTTATTATATACAAAAATAATAAACATCAAGTATGAAAGTAACAGATGTAGTATTAGACACGAGAATATTTTGGTGCATCAAACTGCATGCGTTAAAAATAAAAAGTTCTACTTCAACCTACTACCCTTTATGTCTTTAGTTTTTTTTTTTTTTTTCGGGCCAGTAAAACTGACTTTTATACCGACAGTTCAGACAGTGAAACAGTTATGGGTAACAATCCTCACTTGGACTAACTATTGCACTGTATATTTTGATGGGTTACTACTTGTCGTTTAACAAATTATGTTTTACATCTGACGTCGTTGTCGTTTTATACTTCATTTTAATTGATTTCAAGTTTTCTGTTATGTCAGGTAATTTCCGTTTTCAAGTTGACGTCCTTTATAGATTCTGTTGCTGTTTATATACCTTCATAAAGTTGTCGTTCTAGTTGTCATTTTCGTTTCAAATGTTCGTCATATTTCAGCTCATGTCGTTTGTCGTGGTGTTGAGTTTCTCAAGTTGAAATTATTTTCCACGTATGGTCGTTTTTCTTGTTAGTATCGTGATTTACATTTCATTATCATCTTACATTAATGTTATTTATTAGGTTAGTGTCGTTTTATGAGATGATGTTGTTTGTGTTATTGTCCTTTATCAGGTTAAATAGTTGTCTTTTCATTTGTCATTTTTACATCCCAAAGTCATTTATCAGGTTCTTGAGTTTAAGTTTATCCTTCTTCTTTTTTTTTTGTCGTTTAGCAGATTTTTTTAATACATGGGATTGAACCGTAACTTCTCACATAAATCTCACCCCACCTAAACCCCTCAATGCCATTAAACCAAGAGGTCTTCAGCTTTACCAGGTTATTTTTTCTTTATCGTTTATTTGCCATTTTCATTTTATTCTCGTTTTTAGGATTCTGGTCCATCGTGTCGTTCTCAAGCTGTAGTTATTGACTTGAGTTCTCAAGTTTGTCGTTTTGATGTCGTTTTACATTTCATTGTCGTTTTTTTCTTCCTGGCGGTGGTTGTTTTGATCAATATGTCGTTAAATGTATATATATCGTTGCCATTCTCCGTGTTTTTTCGTTTTTCAGTATTCTTCAAGCTGGCGCATGTCCTTTCCTTTTTTTTTTGTCGTCCTACATTTTGCTGACGTTTCAGACTGTTGTCGTTTTTGAGTTAATGCCGCTTACATATCACTTTTTGAATTTTTTATTTACGTATCATGATCCCTTTCCTGTCGTTGTCCTTTATTAGGCGGTTCTCGTTTTTTCATGTTGATGTCGTTTATTTTATGGTCAATATGTTGGGTTATTATGTTGATCGCTAAATTATAATTCTGATAATCTTTTTTATTTGAATCCATAACCTTAAAATTGATGAAAAATATTAAAAATTTAACAAATAATTATATCATTATCACTTTTTATCTGAATCCATATCCTTAAAATTGATTAAAATTTACCATAAATAATCATATGATCGCTTTGTATTAATTATATTTTTTAGAAAAATAGTTGCATGAAGTTGAAAATGTCGTCTACCTTAAAAAAAATAAAAATAAGAGTTATTGACACAAATGATCCTCAACTTATTTAGTAAGTGACTGTGGTCTCCAATTTTTTTTTTTTTTTGGCAAATCGACTCTCAACCTCTTAAAACATGTGTAATCTGGTAATTTCTGTCAAGATCCGTCCAAAAATTAACGGTCCAATGCACGTGACTACCCATGTGACCCAAATTATTAGGGTATATGTGTAAAAACACTTGTAGCTCGAATTGGGGCTGATTTTACGTTTAAAAATTCTAGGGTTTGTGAAATTTTTGCTTTGATTTAGGGGTTGCAATGGCTGCAAGTGCTGGAATGAAAGAAAACCCATTGTGTAATTGTAACATACCAGCGTCAGTGAAGGAGATCTCGTAGATCTCTATGGGTCTCACGGATCTGGAGCAGATCCTTGCAGCCACAAACCCGTCACCGATTTCTTTGATGGAGATCACCGAGATCTGAAGTATTGCTCGAAAAATTGTCGCATGCTCCTCTTCGCGATTCCGACCGAATAAATATACACACATGGGATCGACTTCGCCTCTAAGTGGCTAGGTAGCTCGCCTCCATCTGTCAAGTCTCCACCAGATCTGCACCCTATTAAATTGCCATTGTCTTTTTCATTTTTTTTTCGTTTTCTTCTGTATTGGTTTATGTCTTCACATGTCTGACCATTTTAGTTTATTTGTTCTTTAATCTGATTATTATATGCAAAATGAATGAGAAGATATGATTTGTTATGAATATCGATTTGGGATTGTAAAATGGTTTATTTCTTCTCAAATCTCTTTTTTCTGTAAATTTTGTCTTTGCCTTTAAGTTATTGAAAAATTTGACTACTTCTTTTCTTGTTCAATTGATCCCCAAACCGTTGGCATGATAGATCATAGAACTATTATTCTAATTGTTCAGTCTTTTTTTTTTTGCCTGTTTAAATTCATTTCTTATTTTTATTGAACCCAATTTTACTGACTGGACCATTCAGGCCCTTCTTAAAAATCACGTGCAAGTGGGCAATTTTGTCTTTCCATTAATAATCTGGGTCACAGAGGTGGTCACGTGCATTGAGCCGTTAACTTTTGGACAGTTCTTGACAGAAAGGATCAGATTGACCTATTTTAAAAGATTAAGGATCAATTTATCAAAAAAAAAAAAAGATTGAGAATCAAACAATCACTTACTAAGAGGTTGTTCTTTTGTAACGAAACTCAGAAAAAGTTTGAACTCGAGTTATAACTTTATTCAAGTTCATGTTCTTTTGTAAAATTTGAGTTTGAACTCGAGTTTAGGGCTATATTCGAGTTCAAGTTTCCTTTTCAACTCGAGTTCATAAACTCGAACTCAAGTTCATGAACATTATTTTTTCTATTATTAAAAATGTCATAACTTTTTCATTTTAATTCTGATTGAGATTATTTTTTTCTTATGCATTCACAACGAAAAGATGAATAAAACCTCACTTATATACCATATTAAAATTTTTCATCACCATTGAGTTTTTATTAAAATACTATGTAAATATAAATTTAAGTTTTGACCCACACAAACACAAACACAAACTCAAATAGATTTTCAATTCAAATCATAACTCAAATGTGCACATTTAAGCACAAACTCAAATTACAATTTCAACTCAAATTATAACTCAAATTTAACTCAAAATCATCACTCAAGTCACTCTAACTTAAAAATCTAAAAAAAACAACCCTTAAATAAATTAGAGACTATTCGTGCTAATAACCCTAAAAATAAATAAAGAGTCGCTACTAATCAGCGTCAAAGCTGCCCCGCCAGAGTAGACTTTTTCGTTCTCTTTCTCAGTTTCATTCATTCTTCTTCTTCAGTCCACTCCGAAAGAAAAGTCCTCTGAATTCTCTCCCAAATCAAAACACTTTTACTCTTCTTCTTCCCTGTTCCGATCTTCAAAGCCTTCCAACCATGTCGCCCATGGTGACCGATATCCTTCTCCAAGTGGGCCTAATCCTGCTCTCCATTTTCATGTTCCTCGCTCTCCACGACATCCCCAAGAAACTCTACGCCAAATTCCGCCTCCGCAACCGATCCCAAGCCCAAGCCAAGCGCCACTTCGTCGTCGGCGCTCAGCTCCTCGCCCGCGCCCGTTCCCGATCCGACAGCTCCCGCTCCGCCGTCGCCCCTCTCGCCGAGCAAGCCCTCGCTGAGGCCGACAAAGCCGTAGCGCTGGACCCCACCGACGCCGCCGCTCACATCCTCCGATCCCTTGTCCTCGACCTCCAGGGCTTCAAGAGCTCCGCGCTCGACGCCATAGACGCCGCGCTCTCGCCACTCGCCGCCAAGTCGCTCAGCGAGAGGGAGCTCGGCGACGCGTTCTTCAAGAGAGCCGAGCTGAAGATGGCGATGGGCCGCCGCGGGAAGGTCGAATCGGCGATCGGGGACTTGGATCGGGCGGTGGAGCTTAGCCCGGAGAACGCTAGGGCTTTTTGCTTGCTCGGAGAGTGCTACGAAGCGAAGAAGATGGAGGCCGAGGCCCGGAAGGCGTACGAGGACGCGGTGAGAATCGAGCCCGAATTGGCCCTGGCTCGGGAGGCTCTGGATCGGTTGGTGAGCTCTTCCTAGTCAATTACTTGCAATATCTTAACTTTTTTTTTTGAGGTTTTTGCTTGTTGTAGAGTTTTATAGAAGTTGATTATCGACTTCTTTTATGGTGACTGTGGTAATGGTGATGATAATAATGTTGTAATATTTCAAGGAATGGAATTTCTTTACTAGTTAATATGCTGAGAATCAGATTCTGATGTTTATATGTTCGTACTGGATTTTTGGGCGTGAATGTGCTTTGAAGTTTGAATCTTTGGAAGTGATATTGGAATCTTTTTCATGTTTGGATTGGAGGAAAATGCAGTAGCTATTTATTTTGAGGTACATCACTTTCTTGTTGCGTATGTTGGTTCAGAGAAAGTTTTATTTCCTTTTTGTCGTCCAGAATCCAGAAGAGCTTTTAATGCAGTCCAATGTGTCTTAACTGCTAGACTACACTAATATAGGCATGTTAAACATCTAATCTAATTAGATAAAAACTAAATTGATATCGTCATTGAAGTCTTGACGATTTTGTTTGAAAGTATCATGGCATTCTAGATTCGGAAAGTTTTCGGTTTTGTTGGACAACTCTGTTCTACGGCTTGGCGTATGACTTTGGGCCCAAGTAGGAAAACGTCACTATAATTTCAGACTAATTATCTGTGAAGAATGTTGTTTTCTTTTCTCTTCTAGTACTAGTTAACTCTGAACTAACAATTCCTTCTTCCATGGGATTATCAAGCTCTTGAATTTATTTCATGTCCGGTTCCCTCCCTGCGGGCATTCAGTGGCCTCGTGAAGTGGTGTTTTTCACAAATTAGTAATTAGTAAGGTAAAAAATAATGTCACAAATTGTAGTACTGAGATGGTTTTATATTATCTATAAGCCGAATTGGAAACTCGGAAGAGTTTTTCATAACAGGTCCAAATGTCCTATCTGCAATATCTCACAAGTCACACCACGTATAAAAATTAGCAAAGCTACCTCTAATGTAGCTTCCAACATTCAGCGCGTTTGGAATCCATTTTGAAAACGTTTTTCGCAGAGCAAAAAATGAAAACAGTCTCAGATCAGCATCCAACAAAAAAACAAAACTGAAAACGTTTTTTTTCTCTTTCTCCCAAAAATTCACACTTTCTGAAAACGATTAAAACTCGTTTTCATTTTCCTATTTTCATTTTCTAAACGTTGGGCTTCTCGGTCCAAACGCGCTGGAGGTTTTCTCCTCTGTCTTAGTTGATAATCGGTGGATCCGGAGGAGTGAGGGAAAGGAGGGAGTCTGGACTTGAACGACGACGTTCTGAGGTTGAGAGCAGGGTGATCCAACTTGACACCACCGCGGTGACCGGTTCCGTTCCGATTAGCGGTGTCGGAAGGCATGGAAGACGACAGAGCTTTTTCACCGGAGCATATGGAGAGTGGTGATGAGTGAGGGGGTTTCGTTGGTTTCAAAGAGGGAGAGTTGGGAAGAAAAAAGGAGAGTGAAAGTGATGGGGATGGATGGTGGGCCCGAATAGACAGAAACTCCAAAGACAGATACAGGCTTAGTTTGGTAGTGCTGTAGATTTTGGAAATATTGCTTTTAGTTATGCTGAAAGAAGAAGCAGTTGTTACAAAAAACAGTTGAGTGTTTGGTAAACTATAATTATAGTAGTTGTGCTGGTTCTGGTAAATTATGAAGTTAAATTACTGTGGATAGTTATGAAATAATTAATAATAACGATTATATTATATTATATTATATAATCATTATTATATTATATTAAACAAATATATTATAATTAATATATTATATAATCATAACGTGTATAATACATTATAATATATAATATTACAATGAATTATAAGATTATATTAATATTTAATTATATTAATTATTATAATCAATACAATATAATATATAATATATTATAAAATAATAATTATAATATCATATTATAATTATAATATCATATTATAATTATAATATCATATTATTAAAATAATTATAATATTATTATAATATCATGTTATATGATAAAATAATAATATTAGAGTTATTAATATGATTATGATATTATTTTTTATAATATTATTATTATATTATGAATCTAAATTTTAGATTAGGAAGATTGTAAATTTTAAATTTTATTAAGGGTATTATGAAAGTTTCATTAATTGTACTATATTAATTCCCGCACAATTTAAAAACTAAAATTGTCTTTAGGCTGCTTCTGATTTTGACTGTAGATTCTTGTAAAATTCTTCAAAAAAACATTTTTGAGCAGATTTATTAAAGACCAAAATCCGCTTCTGCTTGTAGCAGCAGTTGATTTTGGAAGGAAAAAACAATATCAAACTAAACCAAAGAGAGAGAGAGAAAATGAAGGAGATTGAGAGAGTTATTTTGAAGAGGGATTTATACGGTAGTAATATAGGGCATTCACTTTATTGTTAATGGTAATTACTACGTTCTTATATATGTATAAATTAATCTTTTACATGTGTGTATGATAATTAATATTTTAATAGTTTACTACTTACGTGCACTACTGATAATTAGTACGTATAATATTTATATATAGCAAATATTTATATAATATATTAATTACTAGTGTATTGTTCGGGGAGAATATTAATTATTTAATATATTATTTAAAATACTATTACACGTTTTTAAAAATTAATAACTAAACGGAGTTTTAATTTTTTTTGTATATTAAAAATAATCTCTGAATAAAATTATTAAATTTATTTTTAAAAATAATTTTTACAAGAATCTCAAAATATTTTTATTTTAATTTTATATACAAAATAAAATTATTTTATAACAGCTTTCAAACGCGCTCTTTATTTTACAGTTTTATTATTACTAATTATTATTACGTTTTGCCGAATATTACCTCTCATTAAATCCGGGAAAAAAATGGGGGGCCTCAACGTCGCATTAGAGACAAAACGACAAACACCAAGCGTGTTACTATGAAACTCTAAACAAGAGATAAAGGGACCCTTGAGAGAGAGAGAGAGAGAGAGAGAGAGAGAGAGAGAGAGGGACTAGAACAAACGATGCCCAATGGGCCAAATTGAACGGGGGACCATCCTCCAGGCATCAAAAGTGCTCCATTAAGGCAACAGTTCACGAATTTTAATTTTTAATTTGAGATGAGATATAATTTTATATAAGAATTTTTTATTATAATAAAAAAAATTAAATATAATTTTTTATGAGAGATTTTAATTGTAATAAAATTGAAATTAAAAAATTAAATTAGTAAAATAAACGAGACATTTCATTAGAAAAAAAAAAATAATGTTATTCATTATTCCCCCAAAAGTCCCAGAAATACTCTTCATAAAAATGACTTAGCAGCAAAGCTTATTAGTAAAATAACTTTTAAAAAAATTTAATTTACAAAGTGACCTCAAAACGACTCCGTGCGACCATTTCTACACTGAGGCCGAATGATCATTTTGTGGAAAAATTAAAAAAAAATGTCATTTTGTTAATTTCACTTTCTTAGATTGTCAACTTAGCAAATTTCTTCCCTAATTACAAGTATTTTAAAGAAATGACATATTTCTGGCCTAATTACAAGTATTTTAAAGAAATGGCATACTAATTGCAAATTATTTTACAAGTGTTCCATCTACAATTAGATTCGCAAGTATTTTAAAGAAATGGCATACTAATTGCAAATTATTTTACAAGTGTTCCATCTACAATTAGATTCGCTTGGGGCCAGTGGTCACTATTTGTGCCGCGGTCTTGATCATTAAAAGGATTTTAGTCATTTTAGATCTCGTTCATTTTACTAAGAGTTTTCAATTTTAATTTTGTTACAGTTAAAAGCGCTCATAAAAAGTCACATTTAACATTTTTTGTTATAGTAAAAAACTTTCACATAAAATCACATATAAACTCGAATCTACGAACTGAAAGAGACATTAATCTTCCAAAGCTTGATAAAAAGTTGTTTAACCCATGGTAGGTCAATTTCGGCCCCCCAACCGACTGGCGGGTCGATGCCATTTCATCAAAATAGGTGCCCATTGATTCCAAAACCGAAACAGAATAGCCCCAATAACGTGTGGTTTGGGTTTTTGCGTTTTGAGCAGTTCTAATCAAACCATTTGCTATGAAAATGGCATCATTTTGTTAAAAAGAAGCAAAAAAATAAAAAAAAAGTCAGTCATAAAGAATTTTATGTTTAGCCAAGAATAAAAAGGTAACACTACATCTTCTTTATTCAAATCCTATATATTTGTATTCCCTTTCTTCTTCATTAGTGGATAAAGAGTATTACAAGGAGTTTGGAAGGTAAACCGCTAATCAAAAGCTACTTATAGCTAGGTCTCTATAAATTTCAAGTGATTATTTATTTATTTGTATTTAAAAAAAATTTAAATTGCCTTTGGTTGCTAAATGAGAATGATCTATTGTTCAGCACAAAAATAAAAAATAACAGTTCTCTATTTTTTTTCTCTTTCTTTTTTTTTTGTTTTATTAGTAAAACGACAGTTATCTAGTTGGAAGCGAAAAAAGTTTTGTTTCCCAATGGTCATCTATATTATAAGAAAAAAAAAATCTAGTAAAGACTTCCTAATTTCCTCCTATATTATTATCATATCATGCATACCTCAAAAAGAAAAAAAACTATTATTTGAATAACTATTGAACAATAACAAGCCCAAGGGCCATCATAAAAACTAAGAAAGAGCCCATGGGAGGAGGTTGACTGAATGAGCGTATTCCCCAAGACAGTATGATGATTGATTAATTCATCTGAGATTCCAACTCATCATTTCATATAATAACATTCTGAACCGACACCTTGCTCCTCAAGAACATAGTAAATCCCGTCAGTTATGATCTATTATTTTTTTATGAAAATCATGCAATAATTAATTTGGATACCTTTATATACACCAAGGTATAATCATTTTAGTTTACGCTATCATACAACGAGATTAGTATCTGGTAAACAAAAACTGCATCATCCGCCATTGACCTCACCACCAACAAAATCACATCATCCACTTGATCATTGATCAAGCGGACATTGCACAATCTCATATCCACATATACCAAGTTGGTGATCAAGTTGATGTATGAGCGCCTAAAAACTTTTCTTTCTTAACAACGTTATTCTAATATGTTTGTTTATTGACTAACACTAAAAAATAAAAAAAATAAAAAAAAATAAAAAAAATAAAAAAAACTTGGTCAAAGAAGATAAAACATATATTAATAATCATTTGCATATGATTTGAGTAATGCTTGATGAACCAAATGGTTTTGACCAATGAATGCTTTCTACCGCAGTTCTAAAAAGCATATTGAAGACACGTCTTGTAAATATCTCCTCGTATATAAAGGGTCTTAAGAGCTCGTTGAAAAGCAAGGTGTGAAGAGTGTCGTTTTCTCGTTCCTCTTCAATTGCCCAAAGAAAAAAGGGAAGCCTCGGAGTGATTGAGACAAGAAACAAAGATCAAATGGCATCAAAATCGAACAAGATTGATAGGACTATATGTCTTTATGCCCTGCTAGGGATGTTTGCTTGTGTTATTCTGAGCTCAAGCAATCATGGGCTAACCAACTTGGAGAAGGAAATTAGAAGCCACATTGCAAACAGTTCAAGTTAGTTTGATTCCATGCTTCAATATATTTTATTTCGGCATTTATTTATTTATTTTGCTAATACAAAAAAGGGATGATTGGTGTCATCCCGCCCGCCATCCCATTGTCTATTCTGGCACTTTGTTTCTCGTAAAGTATTCCTAATATGTCATTACTTGCATCTTTATTATGTTAGTGGACTTAATGCTGAAGTCGTGTGGTGTAATTTGATTGTGCAGTTCAATCAGTTGGCACTGTGGCGAGAAGTATGCAAGATGGCTTAATCACTTTGGCCATCAAATTTCTCCATTTTTTTGTTGCAAGGTGTTTGCAGTTCAGATATCAGTCCCCTACACCGCCACCGCCTTTGTCTCCGTCTTGTTTATTTTGGGAGGCATTTACTCGATCCATTTCTTCAATGGCCAACCTCACTTTGTATTAAGCTGTTTTTTCAAGACATTTCCTCGTCCACCCTTTGTAACGCCTAGCTATATATAATTCAACTTTTCTCCAAGTAGTAAAAAATGGCTATAAGATTACTATATCTAACATGGTTCACACGGTTCTACCATTGTCGCATTTGCATAGTCGAATATTGAAACAACAGTCAAAATAACTAGTTCCCAAGAGAGAGAAAACAAAGTCGTCAAAACAGCCGAGTGAGAATATCTCGTTTTCCAGACTAGTACCCAATAAGGTATACATTTTTCTAACAAATTGTTACATCGTAAAAGGTCGCTGCAAAAGAATTGGCGAAATATAAATTATCAACGGACAACTCAATACTAAAGCAACAGTGCACCATCCAGCCACTTTAGGGTAGGCAGAAAACTGACCAAAAACGACTTGAACTGTGCACTGGCGATCGCATTGCCTGAAATATCTAATTGCTTCAGGTTCAGTCCTTTAAATATCAGAAACGCCTCCCAATATTTTGACAGATTGTCAACCTCAGTAACAATCTCGTTGCGCTCCCAATCAACTTCTTCTGTATGAGACAGTGGAGAAGGACAAAGATACCTCGTCGTGTCAGTTGAGTGTGAACCTATCTCGTTGTAGGAGACATTCAACACCTTAAGTGACTTCAACAATCTTAAAGGGCCCAGAGCAGTAACACTAGGAAGTTTGTTGTAACTCAGATTTAAGCAAGAGAGAAGCTGCAAGGCCTCCAATCCTGTAGAAAGACCAAATTCAGTTCTTTCTTTTTAAATGAATTAACTTGAGACGAAAAAGGCATATTACGCAAGTCAAAAAGCCCTTGACCTGACTCCATTACATTAATCTAGAGAGTAAAAATGCAGTTTAGGCCTTTGGGCACTTTTCCGATTTGTAATGAACAAGGGTAGTTTAGATTGAAACTTACAAAGATCCTCGATTAGATTAACAAGATTCTGAGCATTAGCGACGTAAAAGTACCTTCAATTGATCGAAGTTCGTTGTGGCTGAGATCCAGCATTTGGACCCACAATAAATTCTCTGTAGATCCCATCCGTGATAATGATAAGTTATTTAGACGTAAACAAACAGAGTTACCAAGACATGACAAAGTCGATTCTATACAGTGATAAGAATGTCTCAACAAAGACTCCCAATTGGAAGTAACCTGAAAATCACCAAAATATCAGAATCTTAAGCCCCAAAGATGCAGCAAACGAAAGTTTACTAAGATCTTTAGCAGAGATTTCTCAGAGTATAATGGCAGAAAAGAAAATACAGGATATACTGATTTATGCATCAATTTTGTACCGAGAAACATTACAGATGCAGTAAACGAAATTCCAAAGACCTATTTTCGAACTCAGATATTAGATTTGAGAAAGTGATGCGTGCTATGTTGAAACTAAGAATCAAATACGAACCCAGTCCCCAGTTGTGGCCACATAAACAAAATTTGGGACACAGCAAAATATCCATATACAGACCAAACAACATCAAAATGAGAACAAGTGAAAGGAATAAAGGACAACCCTTCTTCAATTATAGAAGGAAGAATCACCTGCTGAAGAAGTACTAGGCTGTGTTCGTCCTTGTAGTACCGTGAGTGAAGGGGATCTAACTTTTCCAGATCACTATAAAGTCCAAGAATTTCTTCAGAATGGATTGTTTTTTTAGAAGATTGATACAAAATAGCATCATGAGCACTCAACAGCCTCGCAAGTGTAAGCTTTCCAATTTTACTACATAAAGAAGAGTTACACTTAAAACACAAAATAACAAAAAATGAGTACCAAAAATTTACACACATTCTTATTGAATATTAAAAACTTACCAGCTTATCTCCGACAACAATTCCCTAAAGAGGGATATTTCATTAGCTATTGTCTCCTCACGCCACTCGGAGGTTGTGGCCTCATGGTCAGCATCAATAGTAAGCTGACCAAACGAAATAAATGGATTTGGTTCCCGAGATTGTGTTTTCAAAATATGAAAAATTTCATCTTTCCATGAAATCATCTTTTCATCATGCTCTTCATTTGTTTCTGTTTCAAGAGACCGTGCACAAACTTTGAAGGCTATCTGAGTATGATGGTTATAGTCAAAGCCACCAGATGAAATAATGCCTTGAGAATGTCCAAGCCTAACCTCCATAGGATAAGCTTGCTGGAGTTCCTTGTCAGGAAATTTCACATGTGCAACCCAGACTCGAGCAGCATTAGAGTTATTTATGGAAAGAGGTTTCCATATAAGATCATTGTTTGTGCAAAATGAAGATTCAACCATTACTGTAGCAGAGCTCACACCTTCAACAGCTTCATTGAAATAAAGAACAAGTGGAAATGTTCCTGACTCGGAATGGAAACTGTGTAATGGAGACTCATCAAAGCGCCTATCTCTTGATAGAATGATATCGGAACCATAAGCAGGAAAAGAAGAAACAAGTAGAGGAGCATCAGTTTTCAAAGTTTGATCAAGAAGCCAAAGATAATAAAACCAACCACTCTGATCATCGGGATCTGTGAAAATTGCTTGGTGAACAAGCTCGTATTCATAACTCAAAGCCTCCTCTTTTGGGAAGAACCCTTGAACCTTCCTTTCCAACAAAGAAGGCAGAAGCACACTGCAGATTCCACTTTTGTAATTAGCAATAGATAAGCTCAAAAACAAGAAATACATAGTAAGATAAGAACACACTTTCTCATGACATGCTAGAAGGTAAAATAAGTTTTCAAATCAAGATAACACATGCAAACCAAGGTACATCGCAGTCTACATGTGGAAAAACAAAAGCTTGAGAAATGAGAAACCAAGGGCTTGTTCATTTGCATTTTTTGAGTTAGGGTGACTTGAGTTTAGATCTTGATTTGACTTAAGGGTGTATTTGAGTATGGTTTGAGTTGGGACTCTAATTTGAAATAATTAGAAAACGTCTCAATTTGTTTCCAAGTACTTGTAAGAATATCGCTTAAGAGGTGCACTAAAACAGTAGGCTGTTTAATTAATTCTGATAACTTAAAAGGGGATTTCTTGAAGAAGAACTACAAGTATATATTCTTTTACAAAAACAGGACAACAAGAAAAGTATAGCAAAGACCCCAGTTTGCTCAATGCATTGGAGCTAGACTTAAATTTATTTCAACAACTTCTAAACTTAAATCTACAAACCTGCGATTATGCCATGCAGAATAATTACTAAAATTGGTATTTATCATATCAGTTGTGTAACTTAGTTCGTCCTCCTCTGATCTGTTCATCAGTGCTGCCACAAATCTGGGAGAATCGCCAATCATTACAAAGACATGAACAATAAGAGCCTAACAATTAAAGCATAATTCAAAAAAGAAAAAAAAATGCAGTTCAAAATCTTAGAGCCAATAGCGCTTCACCTTCTGTAATTCCAGGCATGGAAATTCCTGGAATCGATTTTCTGTAACCTATCCAGAAGCCGCAATTCGTGATCTATGGACGAAAGCCCCTTGCTTAGCACCCATTTCCGATGGTGCCACGCTCCGTAAGACTTGAAATTCTGCTTCAAAGCACTCTCAACCTACACGAAGCCAACTACGAACACTAAAATTGATCCTCATAAGCAACACGGAAATGTCTGAATTTTATATCAATTTCCTTCATTTCACCCCAATTTCTCAGAAAACAGAAAAGGAGACGATAAATTAAACTCTTAATGGAAGTAACTATATACAAAATGTTAACTTCCATGATACATTTTACACATTAACTTCCATAATACATGTTGCACATTCTTTCGGAAAACAAACAAGAAAATAGAAAACGAGGCGATAAATTAGGTTACCACTCGGAGTTCAGCATCGAGAATGGACTTGACCGAGTCAGGATCCGAGTCGGACTGAGCGAGGTTGTGCTGGACAGCGAGTTTCCTGTAATTCCAAGCCGTGTAAGACTCAGGATTGATCTCGAGGAGCTTGGCGCTGACATCCAGAGCTTCCTTTGAGTAACTGAAACAGTTCCAGATCAAATTAACAAAGAGAGAGAAAGTAAGATCTAAAGAGAGAAAGGAAGGAGCTTGTTTGGATCGCGGGAATCGGAAAGAAAATTGGTACGGACGTGCGATTTTGGTGGTGAGAGAGGAACTGAGATTGAAGAGCCCGAAGCTTCTGGGCTTTTGCTGAAGAAGCTGCTTCGTCTTCCGGCTTCGGAGCTTTGCGAGGTCGTCCGTGCATGTTCTTCTCAAACTCGGTTTCCGAGGAAAATAAAAACTTCAGACTTTGGTGTTCATCGAACGAGTTTTGGATCCATCACACCAACTTCATTTATATTATTTTTTTTTACAATTGAAAAAAAAATAATTTTTAAGGTTGGAAAGTGCATATTTTTAGGATTAATCGGTGAATTATGTACTCCGTTTCAAAACTGTTCGTTACACTTCCGATCTATAGAAATATATTAAAGTCCTCCATAAATTAGTTTTTTTCAAAAAAAAATTTATTGTTTACTAATTTCTTAATGTTTAGTCATTTTTTAAAGAGAATATTTAATCATTTTCATATAAATAATTTGAATTAAATGGCTTTCGTTAACTTTTTAATGATATGTCACGCCAACATCTCTTAGTATTATAGATGGATTTTGACATAAGGGTTATAAAATGAGAGGGCATAACGGATGGTTTTGAAAAATCAAAATGAACTTTAAAATATGGTGCATAGCTCGAGAGGATTTAAGAAAATAACCCTATTTTTTATGGCTAAAAAATATATACAACAACTGTTTAAAACGAAACTTGTGAATTTTTGTAATTTTGTAATAGAATTCTTAAAAACCTTAGCATGCGCACAAAAGAGAAATAATATATAGTAATTATTTATCTAATGAGATTCTCTTGCATCTATAACAAATATTCAGTGACGAAGTTGAAATATAACATAATTTATAATATTTTTCTAATAATGGCTTTTGGTTTTTTGCATATATAACAAATATTCAATGATGAAGTTGAAATATAACATAATTTTTAGAATATCCAAGAATAATAAAACTAATATTATTAAAATAATAATTATATATAACACAAAATGTGACATCGTTATGATAATTATTTTTTACTATTTTTATAATATTCTGAAATTTTATTAAATTTCAACTTGTAATTTTCTCCTTTTACAAGAATTCAATTCTCTTTTATTCCGTAATTGTTAATTTTTAAAACTAAATTTGTTTCATTTAATTTATTAAAAAAATTGTTCTGAGTAAATTGGTGGTACAGGTTAGAATATCAACGATTCAAAAATATGGACATTAACCAAAATAAAAGAAAATAGATTTAAAAATTTCCACTTATTTATGCAAATATCTCTTAGAAAGAATATCATTTAGAACGAAAGTATATTAAAAAAGAAACCGTTATGTCTTAAGGAGCAAGGTGTCAAAATTTTTGCGAACGATTTTTCATTCTTCTTTTTAATATATATATATATATATATATACATATATTGCATTCCCTTCTACTTGTAGGTGTTGCGCACTAAATGGTCACTGCGCTTTGCATAGAACATTCATTCATCATCTCTACATGCTTTTATAAAATACTAACATGCACAATTTGTTGGGTGTAACTTCTTATCTAAGCACCCTAAGTCTAAGAAGCAATTTATTCATAATGTTTGGCCTTCACAATTTAATTACTTGTGACAACTTCTTAACTTTTAAAACAATAATCTCAACAGATAGTCATATGGTAAATGAACAAGTATAAAAGAAAATAAGAGTAATAAATATCTCTTTATAACACTCTCCAATATAAACCATTTATATGACGAGCATCCTTAAGATAAAGGGCACAAAAGTGATTTACATTCTGGCCCCTCCCCCACAAAAAAAGAAAAAAAAAAAGCAAAAAATATTGTTATTCTAGAGTGTAGGAGGTAAAATTTCTTTATACTTCCATGATATGCAAACAGAAGTTCAATGGAAGCATGCAAATCACCTGTAATTGACTTGGAAGAATCCCAAGTCTTTGAAGCCATCAAAATTCAAAGTCCCCTACTCTTTTAAACTTCAAAACAAAGTTCAAATACTTGAACTCCATCTATTTCTCCTAGAAATCTAACATAAGATTGCACCTGCTTGGTCGTACTCTATTCTATTCTGACTGAATAAAACTTGCAGCAACACTTGAAGAAGTCTCTAGTTCACCTACAGTAGAGTTACTCAAGGTGTGAAGAACCATGTCTTCGATCCCAGAGACCTCGCTCGTATCAGTGGACAAAGGAGCTATGTCCCCGCAAACCAATGGGGGTAGAATCCCATTGCCGCTTTGAATGGAATCCGAAACTGTTGACTGCCCATTTCCGGGATTAAAATCAACATGAGGAACCAAAGAACCTTCCATTGGATTTTTCTCCCTCTCACTTTGGAGCATCCCATTCTGGGTATTCGCCGTAGTTTCAGTAGTGAGTTGTTTAGATGCATCATTTTCCATAGACGCATCATTTTCCATTCCCAGTCGCTCCATATCATGATTCATCTTCTGATTGAATTTTCCCGGAGTTTCAACTCGGGTTTCACCAGCCTGAATCCCGGAGAACTTCTTCTTAAATGTTCTCTTCTTAAACCGCGCTTTCTTTGCCTTTGGAACTCTAGGAGGGTCCTCAACTTTAGTATCTGATTCTGCCCCCCGTTTTTTGCCAGGAAGCACTGTTAACTGAGCGTTCTCAAGATGTTCATTGTCAGGGGCACTTAATTGTATAGCTAAAAGCGCAGTCCTAGCAGCTTTAATCTCAGCCTCTTTTTTTGTTTTTGCTGCAGCTCCAATATAGCGAATCCCCCCAATCTCGATGGCACATGAAAAAAGGGTTGCTCGGCCAGGGGCTTCATCCTTCTGACATTGATACAGAGGGATGGCGTAGTTCATCTTCTGTGCATACTCTTGAAGCAGATTTTTGCATAATCCAGTTTCGTGCTGCGTAAAACAGAAAAAAAATCCAGAAACGGTCAGCCATGACAAAAGTTCCTGAAGAAGATCTGTCTCCGATAAGCTGTACAAGACTTAAAAGGACAAATTTAGACCTTTAACTCAAACATGTTCATAATAGAACAACATAAAGCTTCATAAATCTATGACTTATCTCAGTCATGCGTTCTCCTAAGACACAGGAACAATGGTTCAGCTAATGTCACATTGGCAGAGAAGAAACAAATAAATAGAAGATTGAAGAGGGACGAGTGCAAAGAATTAGGAATCACCGAAAAACACATGGCTTGCTCTCGTATGTAATGAGGCTAACCTATCTCATAACTACTTGTTGAAACACATAATTCAATGAATCATAAACAATCACTGCTTATAAATCTTCGGAAACACAATTCGCAGAACCCTACAGGAAGAAACATAAAGCGCAAAACACAGCAGCGCCAAACAAGTTACAATTATCAGCCTGAAATAAACTAACAAACAAAATCGCCTTTCACAGCCAATTTTGTATAGGAAAAGTAATTGCTTACAACTGGTTGAGAGATGCAATGGTTTACATCACCGGTTTTGGCTAACTCCCTGAGAGCAACTTCGGCAGCGGACTGCTCTGCCGCCTTGCGGTTGGAAAACCCAGGCAAAGAATCATATCTGACATCATTTACAATCACACATGACCTAAAGTAAGGCTCATGGGAGGGACCTTCTTTTGTGGTCTCATATACGGGAGTGGGTACTCCGACTTTTTGAGCGTACTCCTGTAACCGGCTCTTAAACACATAGCAATTCGAAACACCTAACATATGAAAAACACATGTAAAAACAAAATTACTAACGTCTCAGCCACTTTCAGAGAAAAACGTGTATTCTATGGAATAGCCAATTTGGCGCGCATCTAACAATAGTGACAACTGAAACTCTGAATAGACACTATAATTCGAAACACCTAACATATGAAAAACACATGTAAAAACAAAATTACTACCGTCTCAGCCACTTGCAAAGAAAAACATGTATTCTATGGAATAGCCAATTTGGCGCGCATCTAACAATAGTGACAACTGAAACTCTGAATAGACACTAAGAGTAATTTCCTGATATTTTTCATGTGAAAATTAAAAAATGCAGATAACCTAGTAGTAATTCCCTTTAATTGATACACGAAATTCCAAGCACCACCCATAAACAGCATATTTAAAAAAGCTTTAAAATCAAATGAAGATTTTAAATTTGCGTTTGTCATATGGTTTTTCTAGAATACAAGTGACACATTAAAAACCCAAAAAGAAAAAGAAAAAGAAAATATTTATCCTAACATCAAGAAACACAATTCCTCACAAAAGCCATATTGAAAAATGATAATAGGACCCAATTAAATGCCACAAAAATCGACTATCTTAGTTATTTAATAAATTGAGAATTAATTTCAAATAACCGACGTATAAAATTTCAGGGTTAGAAAGTTGGGATTGAATTATGAGTTC